CGGTTAGTTAATTGCAGCAGAAAAAGGTCATTTTGCTTTACACTTTTATCTTTTAAACTCTAACTCTTTGTTGACATACGGATTTCTGCTATTGTTGAGTTTTATTTGTCAAGTTATATTACTAATAGAAGTTTTGGAAATTTTAGCGGCATACTGCGGTTTATCAAATAATAAAGTACTCGGCTAATTGTTTGGTTTGCTAAAAAAAAGTTTAGCTATCACTTTTCCATTGTTTGGTGATTATTGATTAGCAAGATTTGTTTGTTCAAAAAATTTACCAAAGTTTGCCAAGCACTGCATGGTTATAAAATAAAAAATTTTCAAGGCAATAACAGAAGAAGAGAAATGATTGCAGGACAGATGAACTAAACAAGTAAATGGTGATTTGCTGACGATTAGTTGAGCTCATTACATTACGCTAATCGCAGCTGGTATGTTTGTGCCAACCTTTCGTACTTCAAATATCTGTGTATCTATCAAACGTTGCTTAAATTTTTTAAAAGCGGATAAGTTTTTACGAGCAGTTTGAAACCTAAATATAGGCAGAAAAAGATATATTTATGGGTGGTGTCCGGAAAAATACTGTAACTTTTATTTATTGTATTCCTCTTATTTTTACTTCTATTTTTCAAATTTTGACAGTAGTACATTAAACAGTTGAGGTTTTGAATACAGTATAAGATCCTTTGTTGAAAATGACATTCCTGTGGTTGCAATTTGTAATTAAAAGTTGTTCAAATAGTTGTGTCTAGCTATTTTTTAATTATGTACGCAAAAAGAGAAATTAAAACTTAAAAAACAAACGTACAACAAGTTTTCTCACTTTTGAAAATTGTTTATTATTGCCATCGATGGACTGTTTAGACAATCTTAATACAACGTGCCACTTTCATGCTTGAATGACAGCTACTTCTAGTCTGAAAAATACGTGCAACTTAGAGTTCGAAAATACGACACAAAATTCATAAAAAGATAACTGACTTTATGACTAATTGACTAGCTTTATTAATCATAAACCGGTAAAAAAACTATTGTTTTGATATTGTTTTTCTAAGCTTGCATTTTCTTCTCTTGGCTGCTTTTGCAAAGTCAGTTAGTGGCTACTGAAATAGTTCGTAATGCCTTTAACAAACTGCTTGCTTCAAAGGTGTAGCTTTTCATCTGCTGTGTGAAAACGAGATACTTATAAAACACAAAATTTATTTTTTAAGTGTACATTTATCATATAGTAAACCAAGATTTTTCATTTGTAGACGATGTTTAAAACATCGTTGTAAAATCCGTTACTGTTGGGAAGGGTTTGGTTGACAATGGTTCTTGTGGTTGGAAAGACACAGTACTTTTAATGGCTGCATGTATCGCCAATTTCATAATTTTGACTAAGGGTCTTGGATAACTGTACAGTAGTGATCTGATCTAAAAATTTAAAAATTTTTCTGTTAGCCATTGACCGTTAAAGAGCGAAGGTTCTTCGCAAGTTTTCTAAAGTTCAGTGCATATAAACATTGACGTCTTCTTAGAACGATAAAAGGCTCCTCTAAAACCTACCTGTTCCTTCTCCTCATCCATTTTAAGTTGTGTATTATTTTTTATGTCACTTATTTGAGTTATCAAATCAGTAACATTTTGGAGGATTTCTTTTGCTAACTTTTGGACTTTAGCTTCAAGCTCCTCGTGACCTTTCCTCATTTTATCAAACTGTTTCTGAAATACAAACTGCTTCTCCTGCACAAGATTGAACGTAAATGATAAACAAGCTTTTTAGGTTGGTTTTGAGGCTAATATTTTGTCTGTGACAACTTACTGCAAATTCTTCTCCCTGATCTGCAGCCCATTTACGCAGCTTGCTTTCTCGTTCTGCTTTTGTAAGATTGCGGTCTTTGACAATCCTGAAAAATTGTTTGAAAGCTTCATCAGTCAAGTTGGCGAAGAATGGGGGAAGTGGTGGATGATGTGGTCTGTGGCCGCCATGGTGAGGAGGTCCGCCCTGGTGCGGCGGTGGGCCAAAAA